TGTTGAGCGCAAATCACTATCCCATTTCGAATATCAATTTTCACACCTTCTTCAAATTTTCATGTAACATAATTTCCATATATATACACGAAGATTTTTAGAATTTTTAATACCTTTTCTTGTAATATATTTTTCATTTTTTACCATAAATATAATATGGTGAAAAATATTATTTCTTCAATTATTATTTTTTATCCTTTTTTAAAAAGGAATATTTTCATGAAGAAATTAAAATTTTTAAATTCCTTTTTATTTTTTTCTACTGTATATCGATAAATATGAAAAATACATGAGATATGATGAAAAGAAAAAAGATCATAGTGATATAATATTTTCCATTTTCTAGAGAGAGAAAAAAAAATTATATACTGTGAGATATATAAATGGATGCGCAATATTTACCTGAAAAATGTGCCCCCGCAAAAAACGCGTGGTAATTATGCGCGAGTGCACACGTATCGCGAGCGTGATACTTCCGTTTGTCAGATTGCTCTTCGTTTTTACAATCTTGTAAGGAAACGAAATGATATATTTCTTAAGGAGAAAAAAAAAAGAATACAGAAAAAAATTCTTCTCTTATACGATTAAACATCAAGTAAAAAATATCTATTATTTATAAATATTTATTATTAGGAATATTAGCTAAATATTTTAGAACGTGTTGTTTTTGTAATATGATTTTGTAATTGAAAAATGTAATTTTGATGATCAACAATTTATCCTATTATCAATAGAAATCGAAAACTATAATCAAATAAACTCTCAAGGTCATTGAGAAGTATATCCCATCATTTTAATAAGTTAAATTCAAAAATTTCTTTAAAAATATTGTTTGTAAATATCAATTTTAATGTATTATATCTTTAGACTTTAGAAAAAAAATGTAGCATGACGTGAGTGACAATATGTTATTTGAAAGATTAGTCACAAAAGATCATAACTTCTTGAATAGAAATCATTGATCATAATCTCTAGAATGTATAGAACGAATGAAATACGAATATTAAATGTTTAAAAAAATTGATTAGAAATATGAAAAAATAATCGATTCTATGGAAAATATAATGAGACGTAGATGAGACAGAAATTCAAGAGAGGGAGAGAAAAACGGTGGGCGTTCTTTTGCACTCTCTGAGGTGTGATGTCAGTTTTACATATTCGGGCACTGTGAGCGACGTATCGAGAAAAAAGGATCTCGAGAGAAATTGTTCTTTGTATTGGTCACTGACAGAAGAACGATCTCGGCCATTCTTGTTCGTTTGAAGTACCATTCTGGATATTTCCTTTGTCTCTTGAGATGTCGAGTATATAAACAAATCTGCAATTTTTGTAATTGAAATGTTCTCTAATGTATCACATATATTTCAATCTACTTTCTTATTCACCATGTTAAAATAATAAATGTATCATCTAATCTTTTAAAAAGAAAGAATTTCGTAGGAATCTTTATCGATATGTTATAGATATGCATAAGTGTATATAATATACATGTATATATATATATATA